GTCTGCCAAGTGCAGAGCCCCAGTTCCATACTGTGGCAGGAGAAAAGCAGTCTCTTTCACAGTGGCCCTGGTAATCTCTTATTTTTGTAGATCTCATAAAATAAGATATCTATACTCAAGAAGATTTATAATATAGTACATATCCTTCTTTCTTAGAGATTAAATTTAAAAGGCACAAGGAAAGTGTTTCCATTGTGTCTCCATTCACCTTGTTCAATGCAATTTTGAAGGAATATGAGATGCTAAAGATTTTTCATCAATATTGGCTCCTTGTTATCATAACTAGGCTACTCATAGTTTTAGCTTTATCTAGGCCCTGGGTACCAACTCTACCATGAATGGAAGCTCATTATGTGAGGTGAAGTAATTCTGATGTTATGTGTTTGTACAAAGTAGTAGGCAAATGTGTTAGTTTTTAAATGCTAAATTAAGAACCTGTTTAAATAGTCTATATTTTCAGATTATTAAATATATTTATAAACACGTAATTAAGGAAGCTGACTAGAGCTTGCATCAGTTTATTTATAAATTTGGACTGTAAGTTTCAGCAGTTACGATTTAAAGGAAACTACTTTGATAGTTTTCTTAACTGAAGTTTGACAGATCAAAGTTGGGTAATGTAAGTTTCATTTTTATACTAAACTAAAAAACAAAAAGTTGAACAGTTGGTGGTTGCCAGAGGTAGGGGGTTAGAGGTTGGCAAAATGGATGCAAGGGGTCAAAACGTACAAACTTTGAGTTATAAATAAGCCATGGGGATGTAATACTATACAACATGGTGACTATAGTTAATAATACTATCTTGTATGTTTGGAAGTAGTTAAGAGAGTAGGTCTTAAAAGTTTTCATCAGAAGGAAAAATTATGCTGCTTTAAAAATAATGGATTTGAGGTTTTTTAAATAATGTGATATATTAAATTGTTGTAAATTAAATATAGAACATCATCCAGAAGCTGAATTTGAAGCATAAATTAATGAAGATATCAGATCTTTTGGGAACCTAGGCATAGTGAACTCCTGTGATGAATTATTACTAGTACTAGGGGCCCAGTGCATGAATTCGTGCACCTTGAAAGGAACTGTGGGCCACAGGCTGCGGTAGGCATAGGGGCAGGTCTCGGCCCATCCTCCGCACCCCCTCCTGCCGCCACCACTCCCCCCCCCCCCCCCCCCCCCGGTTCCCTGTCTGCCGAAGCCTCACTCCTCCAGCCCCCGCTCCCATGTGCTGACAGCACCAGCTCTGCTCGCACCCGCTGAAGGCGTGGAGCGATTGGGGCCGGCACCAGCAGCAGGTGCAGGTGGGGCCATTGCCGGCAGTGGGTGTGAGAAGCAACTGCTGGCCCCAATCTCCCCTCAAGAGCAGGGGGAGATGGAGAAGCCCTGAGGGGCGATTGAGGCCAGCAGCCACCGCTCACACCTGCTGCTGGTGCCGAGCGATCAGGGCTGGCGCCGGGCACCGGCAATGGGTGCGAGCGGCAGCTCCAGCACTGGCAGCGGGTGCAAGCCGGGCCGGCACCAGCAGCAGGTGCAAGCGCTGGTGGGACCGCGGCGGGCGGGAGCAAAGAATTTTCACTAACCACCAGAGGCTCACCTTGATGACAACGACCAGCGCCTTGGTCTGGTGCTCCTGCTCACCTGCTCCACCATCCCACCGCGGCTGACGCCCAGCATATTCTGTGCACGCTCCCTGGTAGTCAGCGCACATCATAGTAACTGGTTGTTCGGTTGTTCCGCTGTTCGGTCTATTTGCATATTAGCCTTTTATTATTTAGGATATCCCAAGCCAGTGATTTTCAACGGGTATGCTACGAGAATTTTTAATACATATGATACCTATTTAGTCAGGGGCACTGACCTCTTTTCCCCTGGATTGTCAAATAAAAAGAAATGACTACAGCCAATACAACAATAGCCGACCAGTGTGAATGCCCTGTTTTGAGCCATAAATGTATAGGTCATATAATTGAGTTGCATCTTATTGGTCATATTGCATAATAAAATTGCATGTGATTGACTAATACTTGATACTAAAAATTCTTATGAACAGTATAGGCACCTGATTTTGTTAAAATTCACTTTGGAGCAAAAAGGGTAGGTAATTACTTGTTTGTGTGTGTGTGTGTGTGTGTGTGTGTGTGTGTGTGTGTGTGTGTGTGTGTTTTAAATCATTCAAAATTATACCTATTTTTTGGGTCAGATCAGCAAAATATGTATTTTTTGCAGAGTTTTTGTAGTTAGTTTATGTGTCCCATGAGATGATAAAGGTTGAAAATTGCTGTTCCAAATCATGTAACTCCCAGTACTTACTCTATTGTGCACTGGTCCTTGTGGTCGGCAGGAGCAGTTAGGCAATGAGGGGGATTTCATGGCAGCAATACTGTGGTGCTATCTCACCTTTAAGGTCAGGTCTCCTGATCCCTAGACACTATTTTCCAAACCTCTTCCTGAAATTCCCAATATTTCATCCTCATATCTTGTGGTTGAGGCTCTGTGGGGGTTGAGGTGGAAAATACTATAACTGGTCATAGAAGCCTTCACTATCTTTCTCCCAGCAGTTTTACTCCCCCCAGCAGTCTAAGAAGGAGCATCATCCGAATAAACAGAACAGTTGTACTTCCCACTTGTCTTTCTCAGCTGACCTAAGTGCTGTGGTGCAGGATGGCCTTTAAAGGGCTCCATGTTTTATTTTTATAATCCCATCTTTCCCCAAACTACGGTGTGATATGGTATCTTAAACAGCGTGAGTTCTTAATAAATACTTATTGACTTGAAGCCTAATAATTTTTCTTCCTTTCTCTCTTAATCAAGTACTAGCACTGAGATGACACTATCAGCCAGCCTCTCTTGACGTACTGTGTCCTCTAGAGAGAATAGGCAGTGAAAGAAGAGTTGGCACCAGGGACAACTTTCTCTACTTTTTGTTGTTGTTGTTAAATTTTCAGTTTATGTCAATAGTGAAGGGATAATAAAAACTACACACAGAAGCTTTTGTCATTTATGGCTGGATAGCTTAGGAGGAACATTGGTCTCCAAGTAAAAGCTATAAAACAGACAAACAAATACTTACATAGATCAGCTTAAACCAGCATGCAAAGGAGTAATCCTGAAATGGCTTGGGAGAAATGTCAGCTTTTTGGGATGCTCTGTTAATTTTTATATATTATAACTTATTTTGAACATGACAGCAGACAGAAATAACTAAAAGGTTCAGAGTCTGGAATAGTGCTTTTTCCACAGCTGTAAGCTATTTAAAATTCTTCTCGTGTTACTGTTTGCCATCCAGATGGCTTTCTGGCACTAGTTCAGTTCCTAGATGTGAAGGCTGCTGGTTATTTACTCACCAGTATCACCACACTCTTGTACAATTTGACTCATGACTCACAGTGCTTACATGTGGGTACCCTTTGCTATACAGTCATTCCTGATTGTCATAATGTCACTTGTTAGAGACATGTTCCAGAATTGACTGGACACCAGTTCCAAATGAAGATTTGTTGACATTCAAGAGAACACTCTGGTTAGTCTGTTGGATCCATTGCCACTGGAGTGAGAAACAGAAACAGTCATCCAGACAATGAAACTTTTGTCTGAAATATTTATGTGCATGATAGATGCAAAAGTGTATCCAGTAAGCCAGAATTATTTGCTTCACTTTTTTACTATTAACTAAAGTGATTAAAATGCAAAAAGGGCTTACCGCAGAAATCAGTATTGTGGTGAGAGGCTAGGGAGGGGGAGGAGGTTGCTATTTAAAAGGAACACCCTGAAGATGCAGATAGTGTTGTATTTCTTTCTTTTTTTAAAAAAAATCCTCACCCAAGGATATGTTTTGATTGATTTTAGAGAGAGAGGAAGGGGGAGAAATATCAATTGGTTGCCTCCCGTTTGTGCCCCAACTAGGGATTGAACCCGCAACCTAGCATGTGCCTGACTAGGAATCAAACCCGAAACCTTTTGGTGGATGGGACGACACTCCAACCAACTGAGCCACCCAGCCAGGGCAGTGTTGTATTTCTTGACCTGGACTGTGGTTTGCTTTATAATAAGTGTTGCTTTTCAATAATTGGTTTGGTACTTTTTAATTTATGTGTTATTTTAAACAATAAAAATGTTTAAAAATAGAGAATACTTGCCTAATATGTAGATCACATACTTTGTAATAGATGTGAGTAGTAAGTCTTTGTCCTGTTAATTTTTATCTATTTAGGAAAATATCAACTTTTGCCCTAAAAGATGGTTATGGTCAAATAGTTATTGAAATAGGCTTAACAGTTAGTTCCCCTTTTCACAGTTCTACTCATTTGGGCTTCAGGAAGAGAAGAGACAGGTTGAGGAGAGAATATAGTGGGGATAAAATATATCTTTCTTAGAAATATATACCCCGTTAGAATAATCATCCTTTTTTGTTGTTGGTAAGCAAGACGAAAGAAAATTAGAACACTGAAAAAATTGATTAGCATTAATTAATAAAAAGTTAAATATTCTAACTCAAGTTAATGTAAGTAATTTAAAATAGAATATTTCATAACACATAAGAAACACAAAGGATTGTAAGAATATATTATGAACAACTATATGCCAACAAATTGGACATTCTGGATGAAATGGATAATTTAAATTTATACATACAAACTTCCAAAACTAAATCAGAAAGAGTCAGAGAATCTGAATAGATAGATTACAACTAGTGAAATTGAAGCAGTAATAAAACAACTCCCAACAAAGAAAAGTCCTGGACTGGATAGCTTTATAGGTGAATTTTTTCCAAACATTCAAAGAACTAACAGCAATCTTTCTCAAACTATTCAAAAAAATTCAAGAAGAGGGAAGACTCCCAAGCTAATTTTATAAGGCCAGTATTATCCTAATTCCAAAACCAGATAAAGACATGACAAAGAAAGAAAATTTAGGTTAATATCCCTTATGAACATAGATGCTGAAATCCTCAGCAAAGTATTAGCAAACCCGAATCCAGCAATACATTGAAAAGATCATACACCATGATCAAGTGGGATTTACTCCAGGGATACAGGGTTGGTGCAGTATTTGTAAAACAATAAACGTGATATATCACATAAACAAAATGAAGAATAAAGACCACATGATCATATCCATAGATGCAGAAAAAGCATTTGATAAAATCCAATACCCATTTATGATAAAAACTCTGAGCAAAGTGGGAATAGAGGGAACATACCTCAGCCTAAAAAAGGCCATATACCAGTATGACAAGCCCACAGCCAACATCATACTCAGTAGGCAAAAACTACAAGTGTTCCCCTTTAGATCAAGAATAAGTGTCTTTTAGAAATTTATGTGCTTTATGTGATCACAATAAAAATTATTTTCAAAGCAAATAATCTTTAAGATACCAAATTATTTCGTTTATTTGCATAGAATATTTTAACATTGAAAGTTACAAAGCCTGAGATAAGCAAACAGGTCAATAACTCAGAATTCTAACATTTTTACATATCATTCATTACGAAATGCAAAAAGACCATTAATGTTTAAGTGGAATGATCTCTAACCTATAAATTATACTATGACCAAACACTTATAGAAACACAGATTCCATTAAATATTTTAAAAGTTTGATTTTACAAGTAATTAGAGAAATGCAAATTAACTCAAGAACTTGATTACAATCTTGTTAATGGATGCTATATACAACTATTAAGGTAGTGGGAATACAAATTGGTAAAACTTATCTATAAAGAACTTTAAAGAATTTTATACCAGTGACTCTAAACCCTGTTAGACCAAAAGCCCCTTTTTAATAGTATGTTTTGTAACACTTGTTGGTGCAAAGCTGACACCAGAATTTGCCAAGAGGAACTTTAAGCTGATTGCCCTTTCAGTAGACAGTGTTGACCATCATCTAGCCTGGAGCGAGGATATCAGTGCTTACAACTGTGAAGTGCCCACGGAAAAGTTACCTTTTCCTGTCATTGACGATAGGAACCGGGACCTCGCTATCCTGTTGGGCATGCTGGACCCAGCAGAGAAGGACAAAAAGGGCATGTCCGTGATGGCACGCCTGGTGTTTGTTTTTGGTCCTGAAAAGAAACAGAAGCTGTCTATCCTTCACCCAGCTACCACTGGCAGGAACTTTGAAGAGATTCTCAGAGTCGTTATCTCTCTCCAGCTGACTGCAGAAAAGAGGGTTGCCATTCCAGGTGATTGGAAAGTTGGAGATAGCGTGATGGTCCTTCCCAACCATCCTGAAGAGGAAGCCAAGAAACCTTTTCCTAAAAGATGCTTCACCAAAGAGCTCCCATTTGGCAAGAAATACCTGGGCTACACGCTCCATCTGTAGGTCTCCTCTAGGAGCTGGTGCTAGGGATGCTCACTTGGCACAGTGAGCTAGAGGGTGCCAGCTGTCAATCAAGTGTCCTACAGCCATTCCATAAAAACATCCTGCTGGAATCACAGCCAGTCTTTAGGTTGCTGTACTATTGGCTTATTAACTGAAAATGGCATTAAAAAAATAACTCTGACCTGAGCCTTTCGTTTGGATTAGTCAGTGTCCTGAAAATGAAACTTTTAAAAATGTATAAGCTGTATGCTATCATTAATGAAACTTTGAAAAAAGGAAATATTTATTCATAGTTACTTTCAAACTATATTAATATATTTTCTTGCAGCCTTAATTATATGCATTAGATTGTGCTCATGGTTTTTCCTCTTTTTGCAGTAAACAGAATTCTAATTATACTTTTGTACGGTTTTATATTTTGCTGTTTTCATATCATTTATAAACTCTTCTATAGAATTGCACACACTTGACAAGCCAGTTTAAATGGCTACTTAATATGCCACCAAATGGGTATATCATTGTTTAATTATTGCTTCATGTCTGGAGAGTTCGTTTGTAAGTTTGTCATATTGCATATTTTGCTTTGTGTCTGAAAATTTTTCCCTAATCGAGTTTTAAATATGTAAATTACAGAACTGGAATTACTGGATTAGTAGGTATGAAATATTATAAGGATATATTTTCTAAAAGCAACTTAGAGTGCCATCTTCTACTTGAGAGGATAAACTTATAATGTTTTAGCAATTATTCTTTAGTAATTTGTAGAATTACTTTAGAAATATTTCTTACATAGAATTATAATGATTTGGATCAAATAACTTTTTATAAAATGAAATTCTACACCAGCGGTTCTCAACCTGTGGGTCACGACCCCTTTGGCGGTCGAACGACCCTTTCACAGGGGTCGCTTAAGACCATTCTGCATATCAGATATTTACATTACGATTCATAACAGTAGCAACATTACAATTATGAAGTAGCAATGAAAATAATTTTATGGTTGGGTCACAACATGAGGAACTGTATTTAAAGGGCCCAAAGGTTGAGAACCACTGTTCTACACTGTTCAGTTTTTCATTGCTCAGTATAATGTATACTTTACTGTTAACAAATCAACAATAAAGGCTGATTTGTTGTCTTTGAACAATGAGGACAAGAGGGCTGAAGTCCAGATGAATCAAAATCCCATCACTTAAGTTGCCTCTGATTGAAACCTAAAGGTTAAAAATATTAGTAAATGTAGTGCAATGCATGTCGTCAGTGCCTGGCTCCTTTCAATGCTAATGTTGAGAGGAAGGGAGAGGGAGAGATAGAAACATCAGTGATGAGAGAGAATCATTGATTGGCTGCCTCCTGCACGCCCCCTACTGGGGATGAGCCTGCCACCTGGACATAAGCCCTGACGAGGAATCTAACCGTGACCTCCTGGTTCATAGGTTGATGCTCAACCAGTGAGCCACAGTGATCAGGCATAATGTTCTATTCTTTTATGAACATGCACTTTTCTTCTAGGTATATCAGATAACAGGAAAGAGAGAAATACTGGGTAAGCTCTATTGCATTTAATTTTTTTAAAATTCCCTTTCAGTCTCTGTTAAGATTTCTCCCACGATTTTCCAAAGTAGGTTTTGGTTGAACTTATTAATGTATGTAACAAGTTTATGTTGATTTCTGCTTGTCATTTAAACTTGAAGTAAAATCCAGTGTCTCTGGTGGCACTTGCCAGGGAAGCTGAGAACATTTAAATGCTTTCCTCTCTTAAAGCCAATGAACAATTCACCGGATATGGGTTTGTAATTACAGCCTAAGGGTTTAGTTGGCTAATTGTCACTGTGAAGTTCCTGTGCCCTCTTATAGCTTCCTTAAAAAGTTTTCATAGTTGTTCAATGCTTGTCCTTCGCCTTTGATCATTTGTGTAGGTGCTCAAACAAAAGACTGATACAAGACTGAGAATCTTGCTGGGTTAGGTAACCCTGTGAAGAACATTTCTTTTAAAGAAAAAATAAAAAAATAAGGAAAAGAAACAAAGAATTTAAAAGTATGCTAATTACTTGGAAAAAAATTCTTTCTTTTGGTCCTGCTGTGACTCTGTGTAATCCTAGATGATTTACTTAATTTCTCTGAGTCTTAGTTTCTTATCTTTAAGATGGGAAAGGTCTGTAACTCCTTAACTCCTAAATCACCTATCTCCTCACCTGAAACTCTGTGTTACTTCACAGACTGAACTCTTGCGTGTGGTGTTTACTATATAAGAAGAGTGGGTGACATAGGGAAGTACAAACTAGGATATCTTTTACTTTCAAATACGTAGCAATAATTTTATTTTCTTCAGAATATCTCTAAAAGATTATCTTCTAGCAATTGTCTTGTTACCTCGTTTATTTTTTACTTAGCCTGTCTTTTACCCTTCAAGAATTAGCCCCAGACAACATGGACAAATACACAAAACACCATTGATATATAGAAATGTATGCTAAGTTATGTTCCTTATACTGTTTTAAATACACACTTCAAGTAGGTCTAGATAAATTGTGCAAAGAGCCCATTCATTACTACTTTTAGATATAATAGGAATTGTCCTAGAGCTGTGGTTCTGCAAGTGGCCAGAGTGAACTTCCTTCATAAGATGCTTTGTTAATTTGTGGGAGGTGATTTTGTTGTGCTTATTGTTGAATCGGTGATTGGGGGAGGTTCTACTATTTTGTAAGGGATAATTGGACATCCTACAATGCACAGGGCAATTTTTGTTTTTTATTTTTTGGGTTTCTTTTTCCAGGGGAGTTTATCCTCGGGGGATGACCACCTGCTGGCTTAGGCCCGCTCCCTGGGGGATTGGGCATAGGCTGGCTATCAGACATCCCTTTGGCAGCCTGGGAGCCCTTGGGGGATGTCCACTTGCCAGCAGGGAGCAGGCCTAAGCTGCAGTCGGACATCCTTAGCGCTGCTGAGGAGGCGGGAGAGGCTCCCACCAACACCGCTGTACTGGCAGCCATCAGCCTGGCTTGTGGCTGAGCAGAGCTCCCCCTGTGGGAGCGCACTGACCACCAGGGGGCAGCTCCTGCATTGAGCGTCTGCCCCCTGGTGGTCAGTGTGTGTCATAGTGACCAATCATTCCCAGTCTTTCTGCTGTTAGGGTCAGTTTGCATATTACCCTTTTATTATATAGGGTTTTATTTCAGAATTTTAAAGTATTTGTAAAATATTTGTTTAAAAAGAATATTGAATCCGACCTGTGTTGCTCAGTGGTTGAGAGTTGACTCATGAACCAGAAGGTCATGATTTGATTCCCAGTCAGAGCACATGCCTGGGTTGTGGGCTCAATCTCTGGTACGGGGGTGTACAGGAGCCAGCCAGTCAATGATTCTCTCTCATCATTAATGTTTCTATTTCTCTCTCCCTCTTCCTTCCTGTCTCTCTGAAATTAATAAAAACATTTTAAAAAGAATATTGAATATGAGAGGATTAAAAACCATTTTTCTGCTACACCTGAAACTAATAAAAAATAAATTTCAATATAAAAGCTAAGTGTCCGTTTGTCCAACCAGTAGCTATGACGTGCACTGACCACCAGGGGACAGACAATGCAGAAGCTGCCATGACACGCACTGTCCATCTTATATAATAAAAGCCTAATATGCTAAGTGTCTGACCGATCATTCAACCATCCGACCAGTTGCTATGATGTGCACTGACCACCACAGGGCAGACGCTTCGACTGGGGTTAGCTTTCTGCTGGTGTCCAACCGATTGGGATTGGGCGAGATGGGCCAGACATGCCCTAGAGCCCTTCCGCAGTCCCTCCCCGGCCCTGATCCTGCACCGGGGGCACCGAATCCGTGCACCAGGCCTCTAGTTTAAAAATAAATGGCACCATGGGCCTGACGTTGACATACCAATACTTGGCTTCCCCCAAGTGGAACACAGGCCCTGTCACCACCCCGGAGTGACACCCCACCAAATCACAGGCAACACTGCCAAGGACACCCCCCTCTCCCCCGCAGCGCAAAATGTGGCCATCAGCCCAGCCCAGAAACAGTTGCTGTGGGTGCCAGGTAATGATGTGACATAGCAACGCCCAACTTCCTCTCCCTTGCGACTAGCCTCCTTGGAGTTTCTTCAGCCCAGGAACCCAACTTGCTTTATAGCCAGTTGCAAACATTTTACAGTTTAACCAAATGTTTGTGAAGTGTTTTCCCATGCCTCATCTCATTTGGTCCTCACAGAAGCCTTGGAGTAGGTAGATAGGAGACTTGGTAAAATACTATTTTCTTTTCTTTTTTTTCTATGTCCCTGATTCTATTATGATCACCAGATTATTTATTCACTTGATTCTTAGATTCACTTGTTGATAGATGCATATTTGTTGTTCATAATTTGTATCTTTACCTTTTTCTTCTTCTTCCTCTTCTTAAAGGATACCTTTCAGCATTTCATATAATACTGGTTTGGTGGTGATGAACTCCTTTAGCTTTTCCTTATCTGTGAAGCTCTTTATCTGACCTTCCATTCTGAATGATAGCTTTGCTGGATAAAGTAATGTTGGTTGTAGGTTCTTGGTATTCATCACTTTGAATATTTCTTGCCATTCCCTTCTGGCCTGCAAAGTTTCTGTTGAGAAATCAGCTGACAGTCATATGGGTATTCCCTTGTAGGTAACTGGGTTTCTTTCTCTTGCTGCTTTTAAGATTCTCTCTTTGTCTTTTGCTCTTGGCATTTTAATTATGATGTGTCTTGGTGTGGTCCTCTTTGGATTCCTTTTGTTTGGGGTTCTCTGCGCTTCCTGGACCTGTAAGTCTATTTCTTTCACCAGGTGGGGGAAGTTTTCTGTCATTATTTCTTCAAATAGGTATTCAGTATCATGGTCCCTCTCATCTTCTGGCACCGCTATAATTCTGATGTTGGTACGCTTGAAGCTGTCCCAGAGGCTCCTTACACTGTCTTTGTATTTTCGGATTCTTTTTTCATTTTGCTTTTCCAGTTGGGTGTTTTTTGCTTCTTCGCATTTTGAATCTTTGACTTGATTCTTGCGCTCCTCTGGTCTGCTGTTGGGTGTCTGTATAATATTCTTTATTTCAGTCAGTGTATGCTTAATTACTAGTTGGTTCTTTATCACAACATCGTGGGTCTCATTAGATTTCTTGAGGATCTCACTACATTTATCGGGGGTCTCACCAGTCTTCTTGAGGGCCTTACTAAATTTATCAGCAGCTTCTAGACAGTTCTTGAGAGACCTTAAAAGTGTGGTTTTGAGCTCTATATCTTCCATTTCTGACATTTGCGTCCTGTTTCTTTGTCTCCGCATTTTTTTATCTTTTCTTGGTGCACCCCCTAGTGGTCTTTGTGCGCAGTCTTGTAGTTAAGCCTTGATTGTTGTCGGTAATACCAGGGGTGATTTGACCTCCAGGCTAACTGGCTATGAGAGTCAGTTGTGTCTGCAGTGGGAGAGCTTCTGTGCTGGATCTCTAGGGCGGTGCTAATCTAGCGTTTGCCTGAGGCTATCCGGCAAATGGCTCTGCGCAGGGCTTGGGCGGGGCGGGTCCCCGGGGATCTACAGGGCGGGCGGAGCAAGCAGTTATGGCTGCTCTCAGTTCCGTCCCTAGGGGCTCTGCCTCTCAGAGTCCCAGCAACTGCTGCAAACCTCGGAGAGAAAGCTGCCTTCGAGTTCCGACCGAAGCCAGACAGTCCCGCTTCTCCCGTTTGAGTCTGGGTCCCCAGAGACTCGCCCGGATCTGGAGCTCAGAGTCTGAAACTCCCTCCCGATTGAAAACAACAACCGCGCCCTCCGCCGCCAGCCCGCTCAGCGCGCACACTCCGCACCTGAGTATTTCACTTCAGCACTGTGCGTCCTCTGAGTCTGGGTATGATATTCTCTTTCCTCCTAGTTGTAGAATTTCCACTCAGCCAGCCTTCCTGTGGTTC